TCTGTCCACCCAGGGAACACAGCCATGGCCGTGTACCTGTAGATGCTGCAGCCTGTCCTGAGGACATGGTGGGGGATACTCAAGCCCCACCCTGGGCTCTCATCAGGGAGAGGCCTCAGTCCTTAGCCTCTCCCCACCTGCACCAGGCTGGTGGTTTACAGAGGACAACATAGATATAGCCCAGGCCCCCATGTTTCCAAGCCTGGTGAGGTGGGGGGCGCTGGAGACAAGGGAGCAGGGGTGGGGGTGGCGAGGGCGGGGGGTGGGGGGCTGGGGGGGGGGGGGGGGGGGTAATCATAGCCTGTCACCCACCCTAGGCAACACCAGGCTGCAGAAACCCCTGGGAGGTGCCTGAGGCCTAGGACTGGGGGTGCAGGCCACTTGTCTCCTCCTTGGGACCCATGAGGAGGGGCAGGAGCAAGGTGAGGTGAATCACCCATACCTGGAGAGTGGGCACCTTGCAACATCCACCTGTAGCTGGGTGCTGAGCCCCTTCCCTCCACCCCGCCCCCCATGGAATCTGCAGCAGCTTCTTCCTCAGGTCAACCTAGAGATGACCCCAGAGCTCACAGAGCTAGAGTTTCTGGGACAAGAACTTTGGGTGTGCCACAGCAGGTGACATCAGGTCTCCTCAGACCCCACTGAACTGACACATACCTGAGACGCAGGGCTACACCCTGGGTGCCTCAGAGACATCTGTTGCCACCAGTACCACTGGCGGTGGCCCCAACTCCCTGTGCAGACCCCAGACCTCTACAGAGGCCACTCTACCCTCACTGGGCAGCTAGGCGCCAATGACTAGACTCTGGAGTAAATGTGCTAGGTGGCTGGCATACCCCCTCTACCTCCTCCCCTCTGAAAGCATGTGAACAAAAGAGAGGAAATCTTCTCATATGGCAATAAACCTGTGACTCATAAAATCATGCTTTGATCATCTCATTTTAGTCTCACGAAACACTGACCCACGGCAAAGGGACTTGGCTGAGGACACAGCCCCAGATACTGCCTCAGCCTGAGGGGCTGGGGTGCTCCTGGAAGAGGTCTTCCCTCTTCTCCCCTTCCCCTCCCCCCCTTCCCTTCCTTTCCCTCCTCACATCCCTACAGGCGTTGCTGGGGGGCCAAGGCCCTTGGTATCCCAGGCCCAGGGTGTCCCCCTGGCACCCTTGGGGGACACTGACCTTGCCTAGCCCCCATTCCTATTTGTAAATAGGGACACAGCCATGCCATTTCTGGCAGGTAAAGCCCTAATAGCTCTTTATTCAGCAAACCCAGCTCAGCTGGGCAGGTCCTAGGGGGGCTAGGCAGAGATAGGGTCCAAGAGAGAAGGTCCAGAGAAAGCTCATCAAGCCCAGGCTGTCCCAGCAGTGGGGAGAGCTGTGCACAACAGCCCCTTCTCCAGCATCAGTCCCCAGTTTCCCTGGACAGCAACCCCTCAGACTGCAGCCCCATCCCTCCCCATCTAAAACCCACATTTACCTCTGGGCTCAGATCAGGGTTGCCCAGAGGTGGCTCCTAGAAAACAGTTGCCTGGAGATGGTTGCCAGGTCACCACTGTTGTTCCCTGGCAGAGGCTCCCACGACCTTGCTGGGCAGGTGAGAGGAACAAGTAGTCACTTGTGGGGTCCAGCAGATGTGACTCTGCCTTCCTGGGCCCACTGTGGGCTCTCTTCAGATGTGCCCCTTGCCTAGGACAAAGGGAGGCAGGAGGTGCTGGTGGGAGACTAGGCCAGACTGGCCCTCTCTGCAGAGGCCACACCTGGGCCCCAGGCCCCAAGCAGCAGAAGCACAGCAAGAGGGACATGGATGCCCAGGCCAAGCTAGGCCAGGGATGGCTCTTGGGCTCAGTGGCAGGGTGGTGGGCACCCTTGGGACACACCCCATGCCCAGGACCAGGCCTGTCTCCCAGCGCAGATCCTGGAAGGGCCTCCAGCAGCCCCAGGGACACACTTCCCCAGACAGTGCACTCCTCTGGGAGGCGCCAAACCCTTCAAACTACATCAGTACCTTATTATGGCCCTGTGTTGCCAAATAGGAATTTGTGGGAGTCGGGGGTGGAGGGATGGTAAACTTGTGACAGAGCACTGACATGTGGCCATTTTCTTGAACATTTCTTCAGGTTTAAAAGCATCTTCTGTCCATCACTCCAGGGAGTGGTTTCCTGTCGGTCTTTGTGTCTCATCAGGTAAAACATTTACTTTAAAATTCACTGCAAAGCCAGGAGCCTCTGCCTGGGTCTGCTGCACCCTGATACTTCACTTAACCCCTCTGCATGGCCCACCAGGAAGGTCCACAACCACCTTCCACCCAGGCTCACTGCCTTGCCAAGTCCACTGCATGAGCACCAGCAAAACCTCTGAGCATAAGGCTCTCTCTGGATTTAGAATCTCATCTTTCAGGGAGACCCCAAAAGTGTGCCAGCAGACCATAGAGTCAGTGGCTTTCCACTGCCCTGAACACTACGTTCTGACTGAGACATGCACGGACCACACGCAGGCAGGGGTCTCTTTTAAAAAATCCTTGATTTATTTGAATAACATGAAATAATAACTTAGAGTTTATTCAATTATTTGTAAAAATAATAAACATACAAAGATAGAGTCAAGTAGAAGTGCAAGGTTCATTGTGAGAACTGATCCCCCCTGCTCCATCCACCCTTGTGGATGTTATGCAGCAGAAGTCTGCAGGGCTCAGGGCTGCTGTCTCCATCATGAGCCAGCACCTGCTGGCTGGTCTGGCCACCTCCCACCTCCACAGCCCTCAGCAGCCCCATGCCCTGCACTGCCTGTGCTTAAGTTAGACCTGTGTAGATGACGCCCATATGCAATCTGTTTCCCTGGAGCCAACGGCCCCTGTGTGTGAGTGTGCCTGTGTTTCTACCTGCCATGAGCCACCCCCAAGCTCTGGGCAGCCACATAATTGCCACCACATCAGCCACGGAGCACTGAGTGCAATGGCAAGGTCTTGAAACATGTGTCAAGACACCATCCTCACAGGGCCTGGTCAGGCTGCTACTCCAGCCCACTTGGCAAGTACAGAAAACAAGGCACTCCTCGCCCTGTAGGGCCCTCTTAGGTGTGGCACCAAGGAGCAAGGGGAGGGCAGTGCTGCCTCCCTGTCCTCTCCCCTGGGTTCAGACACTTGCTGCTCAAACTGGGCCCCACCTGTGGCCCTCCTCCAGGGTCTCTTTTCTGGACAATTTCATCTACTTCAATTCTAGCCCTGGTGTTGTGGTTTTTAACTCCCAGGAGCTTTTCCATACTCTCTATTCCTCTGTTTGAAAAACATCCAGAGCTCACTGCCCACACCCCCATACATTTCAGGGTGGGTCCCTCTCACTGTGTCACCTCTGCCTCTCTTTTTTGCTTCCTCTGTGTGTATCAGTGTGTGTCTGTGTTTGTGTTTGCATGTAGGTATGTTTCTGTGTGTGTCTATGTGTGTAGGTGTGTCTGTGTGTGTAAGGGTATGTCTGAGTACGTAGGTGTGTGTGTGTCTGCAAGTGTCTATGTATGTCTGCGTGAATGGGGAGTTATGTCCATGTGTCTGCGTGTGCAGGGGTATGTCCTCTGGGTGGAAAGGGGTCTCCATGCCTGCTCACTTACCCTGGGCAGAGGTGTGCACCTCTTCCTGCAGCAGGTGCTAGATGTGGCCGGCATCCAGCTCCCCAGGAAGTCCAGGCCCCACCTGAGGCTCTCTGACCCTCAGTGGGTTTACTTGCTGCCCTCTTCTTTCTGGTCATCCCCTTGTGGCGGAGGAGGCAGATAACACTCTTGGGTGCCCATTAGGCCTGTTGACAGCTGGGTCTTCCTCTGGAGCCTCAGGCTGCACCTCTGGACACAGACACTCCTAAGCAGCCAGCCATACTTGCCCTTTTCCTGGCTGCATTCTTTCCAAAGTCCCCAAAATGGATTTGTTTGCTTGACACCAAGCGACCCACCAAGGAATAGGATAAAAATCCCCTGCCATGTTCCAAAGCTGGCAACTTAGGGAAAGTGCTGGGGGTGCTATGTCCTGTCTAGGGTAGGGGCAAGAGGCATGGTAAACCCCTGCTCAGGGCCAGAGAGCCCTCCAGGGCTGGCCCTCCAGTGGGCAGCCACCCAGTGGCCCCAACGGCTGCATTCCTTACAGTGGTCTCCCAGGCCCGCAAAGCCAGACAGGATCAGCCCGGAAGGACTCACCCTGCAGAGAGGATGCAGAGATGGCCTCGCCCCCACAGGGTGCCAGACCCCTTGGCCACCAGGCAGACAGGAGCCAGCCACAGGCAGAGGGGCCTCGAAGGTGCCCTTCCCTTGGCAAGCAGGGCCTGACCAGATGTCCCACCCAAGGTCCAGGACCTCGGGCCACCAGGAGGTCCCACAGGGGGACTAGGGTAGTACCTGCCCAGCGGGGTCCTCATGCTGGTGCTCCTGTGCCAGTGGCCCGCAGCCACACCCGTTTCTTCCGCCGCTGGGGACCACCCACTCGGATCCAAGTCAGCTCTAAGAGGAACAAGCGGTCCCGGCTACTGCGGTGCCGGGCCTGGGTGCCAGGTGAACAAAGGGCAACCTGGGCTGACCCCACTCCCAGCCAGAATCCCTGGGACATACTCCCCGTCCCCAAGGAAGGAGAACTTGTGAGGGGGGACTGGACACACACACAGCTGAGCCCAGTAGGCCAGGCAGGACCCAGGCTAGGAGAGAGGCTGGGGGGCCACAGTGGGCACAGCCCTGCCTGCCCTAAGAAGGGTAGCCCCCCACCCAGCAGTGCCCTGTGGGCCACCATGACATCATCATGGACATTGTGACCCCTGCTCTCTAGGCACATCCCTGCCTCTTCTCAGCCTCTAGCTCTGCCCCACTCCAGCCCATCCCCTGCACAGAGCCTGCTCTGCTGGTGAGGAGGGTGAGGATAGGGGTACCCTCCACATCCCCTGCCCAGCTCCCAGCCCCCAGGACTCTGCCCACTCTAAGGCTGGGTGTCTGGGCTCTAACTAGCCCAGCCCCACCCCCTTGTTCACAGGCTGGGCTCATGAGAGACCCATGGGGAGCTGCCGAGAGGAGGGCCTCCCATGCCAGCCAGGCCTCCCGGACCAGGACGCAGGTGGGGGCTGCGGGCAGGGGGTGGGGCTCGGGCAGGCCAGGCCCCAGGCTTCTGACCACCCGCCTGCCCGCAGACCTCCTGGACACAGAGGATGTGACCAGGTCGCCAGCTGCCCTCCTGGAGGGGCTCCTGCTGGAGGGGCCAAAGCAGCCGCTCGGCACCGGGCAGGGTCCCTTCTTCTACATCGGGGGCTCCAACGGGGCCTCCATGTGAGTGGGCTGGGCTGCCCCGGGGCTCTGCCTACCCACCCCTGCCCCCAGGGCCTTGCCTGCAGCCTTCCTCCCCCCATCCCAGGTCACCTCTGCCTCCCTCCCCAGGACCCACGCCCCAAGTCACTATACCCCCAGGTCACTGCTGCTCCCCCCATTCAAGCCCCAGGTCACTGCTGACCCCCTGGGGGCCCACACTCCAGGTCACCACTGCCCCTTGCCCCCCCAGAATTAGCTCCTACTGTAAGAGCAAGGGCTGGCAGCGCACCCATGACAGCCGCCGGGAGGACTACAGGCTGAAGTGGTGTGAGGTCAAATGCCGCGACAGCTACTATAGCTTCCGAGAAGGTAACAGGAGGGTTGGGCATGGGGCAGGGTGCCAGCACAAGCAGGAGGCAGCGGGGCTGTGGCCTGTGGTAGCCATCCATGCACTGTCCAGAGCTTTGTCATGCCAGGTGAGCAGCTGCTGTACCAGCTGCCCAACAACAAGCTCCTCACCACCAAGATCGGGCTGCTCCGGGCCCTGCGGGAGTACTCACGGGCCTCCAACAAGGCCAGCACACTAGCCAGGTGAGCCCACCCCTGGCCCACTTCGGTCACCTCCAGGCCCACCTCCCACCCACTCCCCTAACCCAGCCCCCCCCCCATGGCACACTCTCTCCATCAGATCACCTACTTCTACCCAAATCCATTCACCTATGCCTCCCACCCCCTCCTGCCCCCCCAAACACTATGAGCTGGCCACTCAGGATGGGTCCTATGTCCCCCCTGGGGTGCAGATTTGGAAAAGACACAGTACCCACCCTTGAGGAGCTGACGTGGACCAGCCCAGGACGCCTCAGACCGCAGAGGTAGCTGCACTAAGCCCCAGGAAGAGGCCATTCAGACAACACTGAAGGATGTCCTGTGTTACACAGAGACCCAGGGAAAACACGGGGTAGAGCCAGAGGTCTGGACTGGCCAGGGGCACTCAGGGATGCACAATGGCTACTGACCGCCTATCACAGCAGTGGGAACACCACTCTGAGTGAAGGCTGGGAGAGCAGCCAGAGGAGCAACCAGGTGGGAGGGCACTGGGCATCCAGACCAGGGGCCTAGAGGAGGCTGGGTGAGCTGCCGGATGCTCTTGCCCCTGGCAGGAGATACAGCAAAGGCCTGCAGTGGAAGCAGCGAGCAGGGTGCAAGGGGAGTTATGGGTGCCCATGGGCTCCTTCCAGCTGGTCTAAGCCTGGGCCCGGGGATCATCCTCCGGTGTCCTCCCTACATCCCTCTCCCCAGGGTCCTGAAAATGGAAGAGTTTTTCCCAGAAACTTATCGTCTGGACGTCAGGGATGAGAGAGAGGCATTCTTCACTCTGTTTGATGGTGAGACCACTCAGGTCCAGGGCTTAATGGGGAGACTGATCAAGACGAGAGCTGGGACAGGGATGGGGTGGTCAGGGAAGGAGGGAGAGGGGCCAGTGAAGCCAGGGCTGGGTGTGGGCCAGGCTGTAACTAAGAGTTTGGAGTGGGGAGGGGAGGGTTACGGCCTTGGTAGAACAGGGGTGAGGCCACAGTCGGAGCATGGCACAGCATGAGCAGACCAGGACAAACTGTGCCCAGGCTGGGTGGGCAGATACCAAGGCGGGGTAGGGAGAGGAGGTGGGGTAGGTGGGCAGGGCCTGTGGGGTACAGCAGATGAATGGATCTGGCCTGTCCAGGGTGGGTAGGCAGGGCCAGGTGTGATTGGAGTAGTGGGCAGGGCCATGGCTGGGTGACTGGGCCGGGACTCAGACGCATCTCTTGGCAGAAACCCAGATATGGATCTGCAAGCCCACAGCCTCCAATCAGGGCAAAGGCATCTTTCTGCTCAGGAACCAGGAGGAAGTTGCCGCCCTGCAGGCCAAAACCCAGAGCATGGAGGATGACCCCATCTACCGCAAGATGCCATTCCGGACACCTCAAGCTCGGGTGGTGCAGAGGTGGGCGTGGGTGCCAGGAGGGGCACTGATCTGAGAGGGCTGACCCACCGCCCCACTGGTGCTGTGAGAGCTAGTGGCAGTCAACTAGGCCGCCAAGGATCCCTTGACCGTGGAGAGCTGCCTCACAGTCAGTGCCCAGCTCAGCTGCCTTGTGCGGACCACAGCTGGGCCCTACACAGTGGGTGTCACATCAGGTCCAGGCTGCAGACAGTTTGGGCCCCAGACATGGCTCCAGGATGGGCAATAGGACAGGGAAGGGTTGGTCAGTTTTTCTCTCACCGGCATCTCTGCTCCACTGTCCTACAAGAGTCTGGGCTTTGGCCGATATTCTGTAGCTGGTCTCCCAGCTCCCAGCCCTGTCCACCACCTGCGGCCTTGGAGCCTGCAACCCAGAGCCACTCTTTCCTTGCTCAAAAATGCACCTAGGCTGGGTCTACCTTCAGGCAGGGTCTCCAGACCCTCAGGCTTCCACAGGAGCTCAGTCTGGCCTCAGAACCTCACCCCTGCTCTGGCCACAGCAGCTCTCTGCTATCCCTCCCAGCCATCAGCAGGTCCTCCCCCTGGCATTGTCCCTCCCTTTCTGTCTTGAGCTGCTCCCACCTTCCAGGCTCCTGGTGAACCCTGGGGCACCCCAGACACACTCAGTGGGCTCAGAAATGTTCCCTTACCATAGACATGTGTTCATCCAGAGGTCACGCCTGGGCCCTGTGGTGGGGCACTAAGGAAATGGCTCAGCCACAGCAGCCCCCACGGGTGCCCCCAGGTACATCCAGAACCCACTGCTGCTGGGCGGGAAGAAGTTCGACGTGCGCTCCTACCTGGTCATCGCCTGCGCCATGCCCTTTATGGTCTTCTTTGGCCATGGCTACGCCCGCCTCACCCTTAACCTCTACGATCCCCATTCCAACGACCTCAGTGGCCACTTGACCAACCAGGTGAGGGTCCCCCATAGGTGAGGCCATAACCTGCAGCCTTGTGATGAGATCAGAGAAAGGTTCAGTGGTAGATGGAGGCTCAGGGCAGTCAGGTCCAGGGGATCTGGGCCCTGTCTACAGTCAGCACTGCCTCCTGCCTGGTTCCTGCAGCCCCTCCCCCAGCTGGTCTCCTAGTGGGTACAGTAGGCAGGTGCAGGGTTTTCAAGAGGGCTGTGAGGACCTGGTGGGGGGATCCTGTGGGGAAAGGTCTTACTTGAAACAGTTCAGGGTAGTGGTCCCTCATGAGACCTGAGGGCATCTCTGTCTACAGGGGGCCAGGTCAGGATAAGGCTCTTTTTATGGGCCCTCAGTGAGGGCTGGGTGTTCCCGGGTCCCCAGGCACTGCCCTTGTTCCCCCAGTTCATGCAGAAGAAGAGCCCCCTGTATGTGCTGCTCAAAGAGGACACAGTGTGGAGCATGGACCACCTCAACCGCTACATCAATGACCACTTCAGGAAGGCCAAGGGCCTCCCCAGAGACTGGGTCTTCACCACCTTCACGGTGTGTCTGCCACTGCACCTCACCTAGGGATGGGTGGGACAGTCAGGACAGTCAGGGTATAGTTTCCATCCCCAGCAGCCACCAGGGGTCCACCTGTGGGGGTTCCTCCTGGGGGCCTCCCTGGCAGGTGCTGCAAGGCAGACTTAGCTTCAGTGTCACAACCACAGTGTGATTGAGATTATTGATTCTCAACTAGGAAGGACAACCTAAGCAGGGCAGAGAGCAGTCCTCTGTCCCAAATGCAGGAGAGGATGTCTAATTAAGGGTCCTTTGAGGTAGGGTGTGCTAATTTTGCAGTTACTTTCTACAAGATACTTCAACCAACTCTGGCATCAAGGGAAGTGGAACGATTAGGTGCAAAGACAGTGATAAAACACACTCCAGGCTTGGCGCCTGTGGCTCAAGTGGCTAAGGTGCCAGCCACATACACCTAAGGTGGCAGGTTTGAATCCAGCCTGGGCCCGCCAAACAACAATGATGGCTGCAACCAAAAAAAAAAAAAAAAAATAGCCGGGCATTGTGGCAGGTGCCTGTGGTCCCAGCTACTTGGGAGGCGGAGGCAGGAGACTTGCTTGAGCCCAGGAGTGGGAGGTTGCTGTGAGCTGTGATGTCACAGCACTCTACCCAGGGGGATAGCTTAAGGCTCTGTCTCAAAAAAAAAAAAAAAAAAACACGCTCCACAGAGGGGCTGCCCAACCTATTCTGGTCAGGCCCAGACAGCGGACAGCCATGGTCTCTCCAAACACATTCCTGCTATCTCCTTACCACACCACTGGGATAATTCACCATTTTGAAGCATACAATCAGTGGTTTTTAATATTTACATAATTGTGCAAGTATTACCAGTAACTCCAGAACATTTTCATCACCCCCAAAAGAGAGTTTGTCCCAGCTAGCCATCACTCAACTGCACCCCTTGGCTCCTGCAGCCACTGGCCCACTCTGCCTCTGTGGCCTCCCCATTCTGGACGTTTGATGTAACAGGATCAAATAATGGTATATAATCACTTAAATATGCTTGTTGGATTTGGTTTGCTAGTATGTTACTGAGGATTTTTGTATCATAAAAAGCCATATGTAGCCAGGTGTTGTGGAGGGTGCCTGTAGTCCTAGCTACTTGGGAGGCTAAGGCAAGAGATTCACCTAAGCCCAAGAGCTGGAGGTTGCTGTGAGCTGTGATGCCACTGCACTCTACCAAGGGTGACAAAGTGAGACTCTGTCTCTAAAAAAAAAAAAAAGAAAGTCACATGGTCAGAAGCAATACTGGTCTATAACATTCTTTTTTTTGTATTTTTTTGTTTGGTTTTCATGGTAAGATAATACTAGCCTCATGGAGTTAAGTGTGTTCCCTCCCTCCTCTTGTAATTTTGAAGGGTTTGGAAAAGATTGGTGTTAATTCTCTGTGTTTGGAAGATTTCACTGGTGAAGCCACCTGGACTTACTTTTTTTTTTTTTGAAACAGAGTCTCACTATGTTATCCTCAGTAGAATGCTGTGGAGTCACAGCTCACAGCAACCTCAAACTCCTGAGCTTAAGCCAGTGGTTCTCAACCTGTGGGCCGCAACCCCTTTTTAACAATGAAAATACATTGCAGTATTAGAAAGTCTTGCCTCAGTCTCCCAAGAAGCTGGGACTACAGGCACCTGCCACAGTGCCTGGCTATTTTTTTGTTGCAGTTGTCATCATTGTTTAACTAATCCAGGCTGGGTTCGAACCCGCCACCCTTGGTGCATGTGGCTGGCACCGCAACCACTGTGCTACGGGCACTGAGCCTCACCCAGGCTTTCTTGGTGGGAAAGTTTACTATTGATAGCAGCAGTACCACTGCCTCAATCTTTACTTGTTACAGATCTCTCAAGATTTTCTATCCCTGAGTTTCTTTCTAGGAATTTGTCCCTTCCATCTAGGTTATCAATTTGTTATCTGTTAGCTAATACAGTTGTTCACAGTATTCCCTTAAACACTATTCATCTATATAAGGTCTTTCTTTCCTGATTTTAGTAAGTTGAGTCATCTTTCCTTTGTTCTTTTTGTTCTTGCTTAGTCCAGCTAAAAGTGTGTCAATTTTTTTTTTTTTTTGAGACAGAGTCTCACTCTATTGCTCAGACTAGAATGCCATAGCATCACAGCTCACATCAACCTCAAACTCTTGGGCTCAAGAGATCCTCCTGCTTCAGCCTCCCAAATAGCTGGGACTACAGGTGCCCACCACAACACCCAGCTAGATTTTCTATTTTTAATAGAGATGGGGTCTCATTCTTGCTCAGGCTGGTGTTGAACTCCTAAGCTCAAGTAATCCACCTACCTTGGCCTCCCAGAGTGCTGAGATAACAGGTATGAGCCACCTCGCCCAGCTGAGTTTTTTTGTTGATCTTCATCATGAACCAACTTTTGTTTTTTGTTTTTTCTTTTTGCAGTTTTTGGCCAGGGCTGGGTTTGAGCCCACCACCTCCAGCATATAGGGCCGGTGCCCTAGTCCTTTGAGCCACAGGGGCCGCCCATAAACCAACTTTTGGATTCACCGATTTTTCTCTCCTGTTTTCATTTTCAGTTACATTTATTTCCATTCTGGTCTTCATGATTTTCTTCCTTCTGCTTACTTTGAGTGTAGTTTTCTATTTTCATAAGTTTAATAAGGTCAAAAGCTATTGATTTGGAATCTTTCCTCTTGCTGAATGTAGGTGCTTATACCTATAAATTTCCCTCTGAGCCCTGCTTTTGCTGCATCCCATAAGATTTCTTGTGTTGTTTTCTTTTCTTT